TCATATTTGGATTTGCCGCCTAATCCCCTAGAACTAGGGTAGAAATTTTTGGGCTATGTAATTTTTTTTTAGTAGGTAATCTGGGTTGTCTAATTTTTCTTTTAAAAATGTTAATAATGAAAAAGGAATAATGTGACATGACATTCTATTAGGAGAGAGATAATGTTTTTTTTGTGTAAGTATATTTTAAGGAAAAGAGGTAAAGTTGGGTGATATTGTGGTCCTAAAACAAACATAAATGATATTCCAAGGTAATTTCCTAAACATGGGTGACTATCCAGGGAAATTACTCTTAAAAGTGATCCTTTAATAGGCCGAAGAACGGCGGAGCTTCTATCGTGTTGCATTTTCTCTGGCGGACCCCCCCCGGTCCATCGTACTGGAGCGATTCGAGAAGAACGATTAGGCGCATATTCTATTCTTTCTACAATGTCTATAGACGAAGTGCTTCGTTTCAGATCAATTCTTCGCTGCAATCGCTTCGATCCGGCAGTTTAACAGATCTCGCAGGAAATCCCAAGTTGGCTACATCACGGGAGACGGGGAGAGTGATTGCTTAAAACATTGATACATCTTTAGTTTATCGAGGACGTGATCTTAGATAACAAATTATGGAGGTCGCGTGTTAGGGTAGAAGGTTAGTAGATAGTAGATGGTTGTTCTTGTTTTTTTAGTGTTACTTCATTGTACTAGTTGTATTATTGTAGTATTTCTTATTTTTATACCTATCATTGTTTGTTGTTAATTGTACTTCAATTAATTATCACACTATTTTATTGTTCTTGTTCCTTTCTCAAAGGTTTTGCATTGTTTTCCCTGTTAGTTGTTATGTTTCCAACACTGTTTTCTTCTTCTTTGTACTTGAATTTGATGTTATTGAGTTGGGTGTCTTTCGAAAATAATCTATCTAGCTCGACGAGGTAATGATAAGGTATATCTATACTACCCTCTTCGAATCGTGCTTATGGATTTTCACGCTGAGTATATTATTGTTGTTGTTAAATGTACCAAAGTGAGTGTTTTTATTTTTGTTAATATTTAACAAACTCTAAATTGCAGGCGCAACCCCCAAAATTAAGCAATAACAAATTTATGCCCCGTATCTTTTCTTTTGACGAAACATTTTCTCTACTAACTTTTTCACTTGACACATTGGGTACTAAAGCTGGTGAATTTCTAGCACTTTTAGTACTAGTAAGAATATTGCAACAAATTGGAGAAATGATTATCAATATTAGCAAGGCAATTGCTGTATAATTAGGAGCTGAAATCCCTGTTGCCATGACAAAAGTTGTGTTAATTATTTGCCTAGAGAGTACTTAACCACTTAATTATAACCTCTAATGATATGATTTGTGTACTAATTAATGTGTCCTAAGCAAAGGTTTATATAGTGTTAGGAGAGAGCCTTAACAATTCAAGAATAAAAAATTGAAGGGCCAAAACTGTTTTCTTGTGTTTATTTTTTGCAGTTTATGAAGGTATAAGTATTATTAATCAAGGATTAGAGATTTAATATTTTGGAGAGTGAAGCCAAAATATAAAGACAAGTGATTGAAAATCAAAAGCCGGATCATGGCATCTTAATTAATTGCTATATATAATTAGAGGAGGATGTAGAGTATCAGTACTATTAGGTTTATTTAACGTCAGTATTTTCAACGCGAAACATAAATTTATATGTAAAAACTCATGAAAATTATAACAAAATAATAAATATGAATTCATAAAATTTAAATCTTGAATCTGTCTTTGCCTATCATAATCTCACTGGAACCTTCCTTATACAATTTCAATTAACATTGAATACTCTCTTCATATAATACGATCAAAAAATAAAAACAAAATTTGACTTGGTACTCATTTGCTTATAGTTATTTGAAACATTTGTCACATTATTTGTTAGTAGCTACTTTTGTTTTATGTTTTTGAATGTCTTGACATTTTCCCTTATAAAGAAAGTGACATTCAATTCAACTTGCACATACATCGACTATTGTATCAAATATTTATAACAATCTTAATTTACACTAATACACTAGTGCACGAGATACCGTAGAAAGGTGAAACTATCACGTATTATCAAATACTTACAACAATCTTTACACTAATACACTAGTGCACGAGATACCGTAGAAAGGTGAAATTATCACATAGACATTCATTTTTAAACGAACGAACTACAACATAGTGTTAGGATCGAAATAAGCAGGTGTAATGCGGAAGCTAGCAAAGCAAACCTCAAAAGACCATGAGTAAGAAGACAAACGAGAAATATACCAAAAGAGACAGATTTAACGTGGTTCGGTCAATCGACCTACGTCCACAAAGGAGATGAGCAATCCATTATAAATATGAGAGTACAAAATATGGAGAGAAACAACCTCAAACAATTCACTCTGAATACAAGGAGGTACACAAAACTCTCCCCCATAACCGCAACTCTCAAAACCCTAGGACTACATTGTGAATGCTAATTAAGTTAGAAGGAACAAGCCTATATTTATAGAGTCCTAAANCAAACGAGAAACACACCAAAAGAGACAGATTTAACGTGGTTCGGTCAATCGACCTACGTCCACAAAGGAGATGAGCAATCCACTATAAATATGAGAGTACAAAATATGGAGAGAAACAACCTCAAACAATTCACTCTGAATACAAGGAGGTACACAAAACTCTCCCCCATAACCGCAACTCTCAAAACCCTAGGACTACATTGTGAATGTTAATTAAGTTAGAAGGAACAAGCCTATATTTATAGAGTCCTAAAACCTTTCCTACAAGAAAAGGACTAGTCAAAATATTAAAACCTTTTCCTAAAAGGAAAACTTATTTATGGTAAGAAATCAGGGCAAATAAACCCCAACACATAGTACATTACCAAGTCAAGTTGGAAACCTTTTGGTGTTTTGACGAACAGATGTACATGAAAATATAATTTCAATAATAATATGTCATTTGGAATTTTCAACAGAAATCACAAAGTGATAGCTAACACATTATATAATACTACTTAAATTCATAACACATTATTATGCCTTGCATTTCATACATCAACAAGAAAAATGATAGATATCATACGATACAAAGTTAAGCTTATATACACTTGCGATATAATTTTTCACACAATCAAATCCCCAGAAGGACGACTATTGGCCTTTAGCCGTCAATAATAAGTGGATTCATAACCAGGACATGACTTATTGCAACAAGTTCAAGCACACGGATAGTATCTATAAGTTAAATCTCGCGCATTTATAAATATATTTGTAAATGATCAAGCGTTGAAGACACTCATCCATTCAAAGTATCAAGCATTTGCACTTGTGTCTGCTTGGTGGCACCTTGTTATCTTTTCCTTGTGAGAAAATGACTTTGATGGATTCAAAAACCTCATCAACAGATTTTCCAGCATCAACCTGATATGTTCAGACACAAGGAAGCAGTTATTACTAAAATAACGGGTGGATGTATCCAGGATTTAAACTATACGAGTTCAATTCTTAGCATTGAACTATTGTATTTTTAAGATTTATGAGTTCACAAGTACTATGTGTTACAAATTTACAATTACATATAAATTTATGCTCTACATTGAGTCGAAAGTATTGGGTTCAGATGAACTCGGTGCTGCAATGTTGCACCCACCTCTGACTAAAATCATTCCATCTTATACAGATTCAATATCTAAAACATTTTATACTACGTCCACCAACCTACTCAACAATAGAAGAAGATCATAAATTTATGATTTACCTTCCTAATTTTCCCCTTTGATTCATAGTATTCAATTGTAGGGAGAGTTGACTCCATAAAAACTTTAAATCGCTTCCTTATTGTCTCGATGTTATCATCCTCTCTTCCCTGCATAGTTACTCTGAATTAAGTAAAAAAAATCCTTGATATAAGTGCTAAATCGATGTACCCTAATACTATGTTCCTCGACTCTTCAAAAAAATTGTCAGGTGAATGTTGGATCCTCCAAAAGTAATGCATTTTTGGAGGGTCCAACACGGGTGGGGCAGCATTTTGGAGAGCCCGAGAAACATAGGCTAAATATACCTCATTTCTTGATAGCAAGCGCTTCTCCATTTCGTCTTGTGGACAATCTAGATAAAGGACAAACTCAGGCTCCATTTTTGTCTACAAAGAAATCCCAAACGATAGTTATTTCAAATTATACAAGCAAAATCAGTGTGCTACTGACTTGCATTAGAAACAATTGAATAATAAACTAACTTACAAGATCCTCAAATGCTTTAACATTCTCTTCATTCCGGGGGAAGCCGTCGATAAGGAATTTGTCACTATTGATTCCCTGCATGGCTTGTTGAAGAAGCCTCACTGTTACATCCGACGGAACAAGCTTTCCCTCCTTCATAATTTTCTGAATCATAGAGCTAAAAAAAACCGAACGAAAGAAATAAAGACAGCGTTGTGGCATACAAAATTCTTACTTAACAGAACTGTAAGCCTACAAAGTGGATATTATGATCTTATTCCAAGTAACACCATAGAGGATTTCTTAGATGAAACTAATTGCATTGTATATGCTCTAGGAGCAAATCAGTTTACATACTAGGGTAACAACTACGGATTTATTGAGAATTAAAACGGTTATTGAATATCGTAACATTACCCAGTTTCAGAACCAGAACTGATTTCTTGACGTAGAATCTCGCCAACACTAAGATGAGTGTATCCAAATTGTTGTGCTATTCTTTTGCATTGTGTTCCTTTACCACTCCCCGGACCACCTGTAACATGAATCATCACAACATGAAAATAAGGAAGGAAGAAGTTATGTTTCTAAAAATAATAGAGATAAAAAGATCTGCAATATCACATGCTATAAGCCACAAGAAAAAGAATCCATAACACTTATGTGACAATGTCCCTTGTGAATTGCGATCTTATTAAGTACTCCTTATGCTTGGGGATGTATGTATTAGCTAGCATTGTATTAACGACTTACAAGGTTGATCATGAAAAGGCGTAAAGCACACTGAAGCAAGTTCAAAAGAAGGTTTAGAACGAGACTTGCATCTATTAAAAAGTTCTTCAAGAACTTAGTTTCTAGTTTGTTCAACCAATACACTGTTAAAAGCCATTGTCTTAATCGACCACTGTTCATCATTGACATCTCCTATAGCTGACCAAGTGCTTGAATAAGCCTTTAACGCGCTTAGGCGTGTCTATGATCATGCATACAACTAAAGTACTGAGATGCAAAACCACACTAGTCCTGCCTCTGTTATTCATTATGAGTTTTTATAGCAGATTGCATATCTGTAGCCCTCAAGTTCAGTATACTACCCCTGACGTTTGAAATAACACAAACTTGCTTTATATTTAACTTTGATATAACTATAACTAGTGACTAGAATGAACCTCCATTATTTCCGAATGTCAATTCTACCCTCATGATCTAAACTAAGATCATTTGACAACCATCAACGAACAACGTTTCTTGTTTCATTTTGAACAAAACTGGATGTGGAAATCCAGATGTCTAAACTGATCATAAAATCATGCTGTTTACAGAAAGCATATTATCAGAAGTTACACACACTCAACTTTTAAATTCAGCTTTCATTTTAACACCTATTAGATGAAGCTATGAGAACAAAAGGTAAAGAAAAAACACAGCAAAATGTTGTTCTTTTCCTTCCTTTATGCTGGTGGTCGGATATGCAAGGCATGGAAGCCGCAGAAAAAGTATGTCACTTCCAATTTTTATCACCTTCCACCGTTACCAAATAAGATATTATGTACAAACACCAGATAAAACTAGATACATTTTTCATGATGAAACAGGAACACAAGATGCAGTTTTAATTTCATCTAAAGAGATACAAAATGCAGTAGACGTAATTACAACAGGAAGTGCAAGTAAAGGAATTACGGACATCCCAACCTATAACAAAAACAATTTTGACCTTCTTCTGCTTTGCTGAGCCTCTATCACCTTCCTGCAAAATTGAGACAATCAGATGATCAAGAAACAGTATTAAATGGTTTAATTCAAAAAAGAGGAAAATCACCATCCCGAGACAATATTAGCTTAATTGGCAAGACTAATAAAATAACTATCACATCGACATTAGAATGATAAGTCTGTATTATACAAAGCCAGGACTATTACTAAACAAACTTTGAATATCTGAGCTGGAAAAGGTCATGTTGAATGAGACTACGAACCAGGACATGCCTTACCGTGAAGAGTCCATGTGCACTCAGCAGCGAGTGTGGCATAGCATGTGAAAAATTATCACTAGAATTTATACGGGGAATCCCCCTGAAATTGGATTTCCTGAGGGATCCCAAAGTATGCTTCGCCTTCAGTATATGAATTAACTTTTGTTTGTAAGATTACCAGTACGGATTGTATACTTGGTCACAAGCCTCAAATGTTGTTGACTTCAGTAGTGAAACAATTCAATTCTAGTTTATGAAACATTCTCGTTGTTTACAAAATTAGCTTCTTCTTTTTTTCAAATCTCTAATCAGAAAACAATGGGAATTCATAGCTCCGTGCTATACAATATCAATTAGGATGATGTGCTGTACATGCTTCATGATCCCAAAGGAAAAGCAAACCTTCACAAGCATGTTACCAATTAAGAAAGACTGGTAAAAATAAAATTAAGATGAGATGAATAACTATAAAAAAGGGCTGCCTAGTTCACGAAGCATCCTGCATTCACGCAGGCTCCGGAAGGGCAACACATAAGGGGTGCAACATAGACAGCCTAGTTTGACACAATTATGAGTGGTTGATCCAAAAGTATGTTTCACCGGTTCAAACTGCCTTTCAGTAATATTTCTCGATTTCAATCAAATGTTTCCTGACTTCAATACTGAAATCATTTTAGCTTGCAACATGTTTCTCTTTATTAACCAAAATAATTTTTCTTTCAAATCTCTAATCCAAAACCAAAGAGAATTCATCAATCTGTGTTGTACCAAATCAATTACGATGATAAACAGTACACGTCATGATCCCAACCTTCACAAGCATATTAACCAATTACTTGAAGGACAATGAAGACAGACTTGAATATATAAAATTAAGACAAGACGGATAACTATAACGGAGTCAAAATCAGAAATTCCAATGATAATTGGGAAAACACCAAAGATTCTTTCTCACCTTGTGTAAATCCATCTTGGATTGCCCACACAAAGAATATGTTTAGTTAGTCAATGTTCCTGCAGTTCCCTTGTTCACAAAAAGAAAAACAATAATGATTTGAAAACTTCCTGCTAGAAAATTTTATCATACTGAAGACTTTTGAATTCAGGGGCGGAGTTACAGTGCTACTTACTGGCTCAGCACTACAACAGTACCTATAACCAATTAACTTTAGCCCAGACCTTGTATTTGTGTCAAAAATCCACTTAATATGTAGTCCCTCTGTCTCAAACTACCTGTCAACTTATCTGTAGTGATTGTGAAAAATATTGTCTCATATTATTTGTCATTTTAGAAGTTTAAAGAAAAAACTAATTATTTCCCCCATTTTATACTCAATAGTAATTATTCTTGAAAACTACAAACACCTCATTTGAGTAGTAGAATTTTGACTAATGAGTTGTTTATAGTTTTCAAGAATAATTACTATTGAGAATATAATGGGGGAAATAATTAGTTGTCTTAAACTTCTATAATGTTTAAAAATAAAGGATGGATAAAATAGTCAAAAACCACTTCGAATCAATGTTTCCTTCGTATGCCTTATAAAAGAGAAACACGACAGATAATTTGAGATAGAGGGAGTATAAATAATTTATTCAAAATCCAACAATTTACCTTTTTTTATAATTCCGAATTCATATACTCAAAATTCTAGCTCCGATTCTACTCAAATTCACCAACAATTCCACAGGCTAAAGACATCATACAGAATACAGATCATATCAATTGCTCAATCATCTATCTATGACTAGGCAGACAGCATAATATATATATAGAACTTTTTATTACCAAGAACAACAAAATTTCCCCTTTTTTCAACTCCCATCAAAATTTCCAAGAACTATACCTTCACAAAACAACAAAGTTCACAACTTTATCTTAAAGAATGAAAAAAAGCAAGCAAACTGAGAAAGGAAAGTACCTAACTTGGACAATACTGCAAATTTTTTCTTAGAAAGTTGCAGAAGTAGAACAGAACATATATATTATGATGTTTTAGATAAAGAAAGACCCAATAGAATGGGAATAATTCTCAGTTTCTGATGTTACAAGTGACAGTTTTGGGGATTTGGTCTCTTTGATTCCAATGAAAACGAACCTTTTTTTATTTGCTTGTCGAGAAAAAACAAGAAGAGAAATGAATTTGTTTTGGGTGGGGAATATGGAAAGTTGTAGTTAATAGCTGTGACTTTTTATTCTAACAAGTAACAGGTATGATTCCACTACGCAAGCCCGATGTGACCAGCTCGACTCAAAAGACAATTTTTTTACTTTCGCAAGCCCGATGTAAGAAAATTTGAACTTGAGACCTCTAACATCAAAGTTCCAAGTTCAAATCACTGGGTCCCTCCGAAGGTAGGGATGATTCCTTTTTAAAGTTGAAAATTATTTTATTTTAATGAGAAGTCATTATAGCCACATAAATATTATATAATTGTAGTATTAAAAATCTTATATTCCATTTTATAATATGTTTAACACCATAATTTTTTATCTGTCTTGAATTATTAAATATTCAAAATTATAATATAGTTTGTACTAAGATTCTAATAATTAGTCTGGTAACAAAACTATCCATCAGAATTTAGAGAAAATGGTCTAAAACCCCCCAACCTATACCCAAAATCTCAACTACACATTCAAACTTCACGGGTGACCTATTACCCCCCTGAACTTCATATTTCTCTATTTTCTACACACTTAAACGTTGATCTGTCATAGGAGGTGTTCTCACCTCCTTTAGGCGTGTTAGAAGGTGAATTTTGACGAAAATTTCTTCTTTCTCCAACAGTCATCTTCCCCACCCTTCAATAAACCATTGTTTCTTCTTCCCCACCATTAACCCTTGTTCCTTTTAGAAAAAATTCACGATTTTTCTCTCAAAAATAAGTAGGGTTTAGTTATTTATGTTCATTTCTACTTCAAATCTTGAATTTAGGGTTTGTAATCTGCTCTAATTTCTTATTTAGGTCTCTAATTTGAATTTTGAATTTTGAATTTTCTCGAAATTCATCAAAAATGGCAAATGAAAACTCGAATAAGCTTTGTATGGATGAATCAGACCCAAAATTAGTTGATAACTACGAAATCAAGTTCAAAATACACAGCAAAATCCTTCGATCATCAACAGAAATTATAAATCCCTCGATCATCAAGTTCAAAATACACAGCAAATGGTGAAGGAGATAAAAAGGAAAAAGGATATTTTTTGGGTCTTTTACGTTTTAGGAGGGAAATGGGGGAAAAAACAAAATTTGGAAGTTGAAGAGGTGGGGGATCCGGCGCGTGCAATCACGTGGACTATTTGTTTGGTTTATGTGTTGAGGTCAGCGTTTAAGTGTGTAGAAAATAGAGAAATATGAAATTTAGGAGGGTAATAAGACACCCGTGAAGTTGGAGTGTGTAGTTGGGATTTCGGGTATAGGTTGAGAGGGTTTTAGACCATTTTCTCAAAAAAATATACTAAATACTAGTGATCCGACTTATACTTATAGCAAGACAAGTTTTTTTTAGTGATTTAGTGATCTGTCACGTTCTTAGTCTTTGTATTTGACAATTCGCTCGAGTAAATCTTTTTCTTATTTATTGTTTGAAAGATTGCTTGGAAAAATTTACAAATAGATGTCTCTTTGTTTATACTATTTACTTGGGGCTAATATGTAAATAATTATTGTTAGACAAGTCTCTATATATTTATAAATAAGTCCCCCTCTCTAGAATACTTTGCACAACTAAAATATTTCAGGGACCTTCTATGAAAATTAATAGAACTCTGAGGTATTCCAATGGAATTCTCCATATGTCTAGTGAACCTTCCACTATGAACTAGCATTCTTCCTATGTAAGCACTCCATGTGGGCAATCTTGTGTCATGTGGCACTTATGTGATGCTAATGTGGCGTGATGACATGATGGGTCGTCACAAATCGCTCTTGAAATTGAATTTTAATTTTTGATGCGAAATATGTTTTTATGCAACTTTTTTAAATATGATCAAAACTTCTAAATAATGGTGTGTAGATTTTCCATTTAAAATAAAAATATATATTATTCAATTGCATGATTTGTCTTTTAAATGGATTAGTAATCATTTTTATTAATTAAATAAATAATTTTTTGCCATTCAAATTCAAACTTATGCGGGACATAACTTATGAGATATTATAGTGTAAACATAAAAACTCTTACCTCACGAAAAAATTATCCCGCTCTCTCCCCTCTCTTCTTGTTACGTAATTGATACTAAATAGTTATTAAAGTGCCACTAGTTAAAGCATAATTACACCATACACGTCTATCTATATACACATCTACGTATCTAGATAAGTGATAACTATGTCTTCATTTTTGTTCCTTAAAGTATGTATCTATGCATAAATATATTGATTGTGTCATAAATTTGATACAAGATATATGTATTTATGTACAAATACACTAGATACATCATATATACACTAGATATATCAGTGCTGTCTCATAACCAAGATGTAATTATTCCCGGATACACTTGATTCATCAATATGTTTTTATGTTGGATATATGAAACTGATACCAGATACGTTAAATGAAATTGATATACACATACATATAGAAGTAGAGGGACGTGGGTAGAAAAGAGGCTAGCAAGAGAATAAAACAAGTGGGATATAATCTATCTATATATAATATTTAATAGGAGAAGAAAAAACTGCCACGTGTCAGCACTACAAAATTAGTAGATATTAAATAATAAATGAAAATTTTTAAAAACAAAAACAAAACAATATTAAATCAAATTAGAAATTTTGAAGCAGTTTTCTAAATTAACGTGACATATTTAAAAAAATAAATAGAAATTAACATTATATAACTTTAAAGAATTATTTAAGTGATATAAAAAAATAATCTGAACTTACCTTAAATTAACATGAATTGCAAATAAAATATTATACGAATATAAACATTTCCATAATATAAACAAAAAATGTTAAAATTTTTCTGTTGCCATGTTCTTCCTTGAACTTGAAGTGTTAAAAAACTTTACGTAAGGTTTTATTATAAGAACTTCTATTGTTTATATATATTTCCTTTCAATATATAAAAAAATAGTAACCAACTAAAATATGTCATGTACTTACTTTTAAGAATAGATATATTTACTAATTGCTATTTAAATTTAAATCGACAGATTTAAACTGCCCAATACATTATATCAAAACTTTAAATACATTTTTGAATGAAAAATTTATTTATGGGATAAGCACTTTTTTTAATAAAAAAAACATTAAAGAAAAAGAAAAATAGAAAAAAAATAAAATATTAAATAACCAAAACCAATTATAAAATTTGTAATTACCAAATTAATTTAATATCATAAATTTCAAACATAAAAGACCACAACAACAACACAAAAAATAGAATATATAATTATCAAAATTAATTGAAAATCTGAAGAAAAAAAGTGCCATTTACAAATAAATAAAAAAACATCTCACGGTTAAATTACCTTTTGAATTCCTATAATAAAGGATACTCTAATCAACTTCACTCCCACATTTGCAGATTCCTAAATTTATTCAAAAACGATTTTTTATTTTCAATTTAAAAATTATGAAAGAAAAGAATAAAATTTACAACCCATAAAAAAAGTACTCCCACTTCCCATAACTTTTTCCTCACTGTCAATCATTAACGTTAACCAACTTCATTTCTTATGTAACAAATTTTAGAACATATACAATCAAATGATGAACGAGAGAAAAGTCATAGGTAAGTATTCTTCATAATTTATATGAAAGAGATGGAGGCAAGTATTTGTCATACTTATGACTCTTTTTGATTATTTTATAATTTTACTTCTACTGAGTTTTATTTTTAGTGATTCATAGTCTGCTTTGCTTTTTCATTTTCTTATTTCTTTCGAAATATTGGAGTAAAAAAAACAATTAATCTTATAATTTTAATGTTCTTATTTTCTTTGAATATTAGGTTAAAACAATATGAAAAACAATATTCATAGAGTGCAACATATGAATAAGATACATAGAAGGGGTTATATATAATTGTGGCACTGGGAAGACTAGTGGATGAAGGCTACATTTAGTAATTCTCTAAAATATACTATTATTTATTCTTCATTTTTTTACATGTATATATCACTATTCAAATTGCAATAATAAAATCAATATGAATAGTGACAAGGACGATGAAAGACTTGAGATGGTTCAAAAATGTAGATATCTTCATACTTTAGGCAATTATTTCTATTATTTTTTTTTAAAAAAACTAACATTTTATTACTTTCTCATTCTTCACCCTTGATTATTTGAACAGTCTTATTTATCACTATGATAGTGGTTAGAAGGCTTAAAATGTGAGCAACAAAGTCCACAATTTTTTTTGGTAAAATATGATACTAAAATATCATATAGTTGATATATAATTTTTAGAAAAATTAAAAGATATAATTTAAAATTTTGAATTGCATGCCTACAATTTGACATTCAAGTGATTAAAACTTCTTAGTTTTATGCTTGACATTATCATAATAGTAGGACTTTTTAAATTACATTTTATTTTAATATAACAATTAAATTTTCTTATATCTTTATTATGCTAACAAGAATATAATAAAAATTGTGAGAGTTATTTATGACTTTGAATAATTTTGAAAATAAATAAGTTAAATAATACTAAAAATTATGGTCATCAAATTGAGATAATGAACTAAACTTATATATTGATTTATTTTCATAACTATTCTATTTTAACATGTTAAGGTGTTAAGTGCTAATAATCTCCAATGTAAATTTTATAATATCATTTTATAGTAGGTCGAATTTTGATATTGTCATTAAATTAGTGTTTACAATTACAATATAAACTAACCGTGCAACGCGCGGGTACGGATACTAGTATATCTAAAGGCAAATATACTGTATTTAGAGGCAAATACAATATATCAAAATGCAATTCAAATAAAATACATAATTATTGAAAATATAGATGCGTTAAACAATCAACACCTATTTTAATGTGTTTTATAAAAGTTGCAAAGAATAAAGGGAAAATTACACGTATAAGCAAATATATACTAGTTAATTACTTAACATAGCTATAGTTTGCCTTAATTACAATTCGTGACCTACTTTTAACTATAATTACGCGACTCAGCTTTTTAGTTTTGTATAATTCACACATTTGTATAACTTTTGTATAATGTAATTTTTGTATAATATAATTTGTATAAATAACAGTAATTGTATAAATTCGTTATTTTGAGTTTATACAAAAATAACTGAATTATACAAATATACCCGCAAATTCTACAAACGAGGCAACTTAAACTATAGTTACAGTCCATAAATATGCAAACTATAACTATGTAACATAATTAAGTTTATTATAATGGCTATTTGCGAAAGTTCTCCAAAAATAAAAACATTTTTGTGGACTTAAATATTGGGCCTTGTGGGAGACCCGAATACACCTGCAATTCCGGACCCAATTTCACGTTAAAACATAATTTCGCTCTTACGGTCGAGTTTCACATTTGGACCGAACAGCTTTTTCCATCGGCGGCGAAAGCTTTGCTCCATTAGAATCTCAATCTCCGGCGAATTATCGGCGATCGTATTTAAAAGCTGAGTTGTAAGATCTCCTCCATCTTCCGTCCTCTCTATATTGATTCTCACCTCTATGTCTTTCCCCAAAATAAAACCCTAATCCCTCTCCTAAAAAAAATGTCAATGGTACTGTTGTAAATTGTTTTTCGATGTTTATTGTTTTTTTTTTAATTTTGATTTATCACTGTATTAATTAAGCTTCACATCCAAATTTATTGCTTTTTTGGGTGATTTTTACAAGTTAATTGTTGTTTAATGTGTTTGTTCTGAGCTTCAAAGTTAATGGAAACTATTTTTATGGGTTTTAGTACCCTATTTTGAATTGAGAGAATCAAATTTTGGATTGAAAACAACAAGGGAAAAGAAAAAAAAAGCAATCTTTTTGATTACCAAGGTCATTATTCAAGGATATCTTCACATTTTTCATCATATTTTACCATTACATAGTGTGGATGTAATTTTTCTTTTGATTTGGTTTCAATTTTTATCAGTGTTGTTGCAATTGTTATTAATTTGTAGTTATCTGATGTGGGAGATTGAAATGTTTGTATAGAGTAATGGTCCATATTCACTGGTTTGTGCCACTAAATTTGTTTGTTTCTTTTGGACCTCACCCTTTCTGCTCATTTTACTTCTTAACTCTTGTGTTCCTCTTAGCACAACCCAAGCATAGATGTGAGTTTGCACCTGTTTTAATATGAACAACTACCTCCATGGATCACTACCTTGACTCTACCTTATATGCTTTGGTCAGACGGGGTATATGTGGAGATGCTGACATATATACATGTGTCCATCTATTCCCATGAGGACTTATAGTCAAGACGAAGCATGAGGTCATTCCTTGTCCTTCTAGCATGCTGGTGCATAAGCATGCTATTCTCATATTAGACTAAGTATGCTTTGAAGATAAAGTTACCACTTTGGGGTCTCCACATATCAATTTTTACATTAACTGCTGAGCTTATAATTGATATTGTTGGAGCACAGCAGGATCTGTATTTTGAAATATCGTATATTTTGGCCCCCAAGGCATAGCTCGAGTGGCAAAAGGTGAAGGATTTGTGGCTTAGGTCGCAGGTTCAATCCCCACACCACGCAAAGCGAAGCCCGGTATTTAAGTGGAGAAGGGTAGAGGGGCGGGACCATTATCCACCGAGTTTAGAAGGCTGTGATTGGTCCAAAGGGCGGGTCACAGACGGATTTCTTGGTTATCAAAAAAAATAAATAAAAAAAATCGCATATTTTGTAGATTTTTCTAACTGACTGGTGTATAGTGGTTTGACCCATATAAATGCACATCAACAGCGACTTTTCACAGATGGGCATTGCTTTCTTTGTGCTTCTGTTGCTAGTAATTTTTTGATGTGGTGGTGTCCTTTGTAGTGAAATTATCATGTGACTTTCTAATTTTGAACAACCAAAAACCATTATCTTTCTCCTAGAGATTAGTAGTCTCTTCAGGTTCAGATGATATTCAGTAACATATGTCTGATGATTCCTACATGAAGATCTTAGTTGTACGTTACAATGTTTCAAGAGTTGTTCTGGGAAGATTTTGATTTTGAGGAGTCCAGTAAAGGGGAGGCCAAATCATGACGATTGTTTCCTGGTTCATGATGGCTTGACTATCTGTTTGTGCATGCATTACAGGAAAGCCTTACAGTCATTCTGCAGCTGATACTTCAAAAAAGAACATCAAGAGTTCTGCAGGAATAACACCAGTGGCTCTTGCAAGAAATGGATCCTGGTCGATATGGCCCCCATCAAGGATGGGAAAATAACAGCGTAATTGTGGTTCCTTTCTTAATCACATAATGGATGATAAACAAGAAACTAGGGTCATGTGATTGTCCAAAACTTTTTCCGGCATCTCTTAAAGAACAATGAATGAAAGCCATGGGAGAGTGAGGATGTGGAATGGTTTGCCTAAACTTCCATCCATCATTTTAACTTGCTGACACAACTTATTCTCTTGAATCCACAGGCTTTGGAGGGTTATAGAGGAGTTCAGGAGCCAGATTTCCGGTGAGTGTTATCATTTTTCACCAAAAGGGTAATCAAATTGCTTGATGGTAAATTTATTTCCCTGAGATTTTAAATAATATTTTACTTGTCACCTTGATAGCATGAAAACATTTAACAGAAATATTCTAAATCTATTAATGTACTCAGCTTATTATGCTGGTACTTGAAGCTTCATTTCTTCCATTATTTCTTTGCCTTTTTTCCTATTTGCCTTTGCCTCATAGTTTTGTGGCAGGGCTGGTGGTTCTTTTGATGATAGGAGGTTTCTAGACGATAGATTTTCAAGGGATGGTGTTTATCCCCGGGGTGCCTATCACCGTGATATACTGGAAGGAGAGCACTACCCTCATCCACCAGCAGCAGTTGGGCACTGGCCTCCGACAAGGAGAAGAAGTTATGAAGAAGTGTACCCTGTGGAGAGGGATTCCAGAAGGCATGAGAAGCCGTACGTTGATTCATATCATGAAATTCGTGAAGCTGATAAGTATCATGAGATTAACACATCCAGAGATGGTTATCACAGTTTTGACAACTACCCTGATGCTGGATTTGACAGGCCTGCTAGGTACGGGGGACGGGAGCATGATGACCCCTATGATGATTATGACTACAAACATCGTATGGCTCACCCCAACAGAGAGGATAGCCGTGAAAGAGACTATGAGTACAGTAGATATAGTTATGACTCAGACTATGAACAAGGCAGTAGGAGAGATGGTAATTGGAGACGACGTGAATCCCACGAGCGTGAACGTGACAAAGAATCGAGTCGTGAGAGGGATCCGAGTCCATATAGAAGGCATGAGCGTTCACGTTCTCGTTCTCGAGGTCATGATGATCGCCTGAGGTCAAGATCTCCTCGAAGTCGAAGTCATAGTCGCAGTCACAGAGAGGACAGTTATGATGATGGCCGATACGATAGAAGTGAGAGACGAAGAGATCGTGATGATAAAAGATACCATGACAATTATTCTGTGGTATGTTTCCTGTTTCTTATGTTGCACTTCCCATTTGCTTTTATGTTTGGAGGGGCTCATGGCTTCTGTTATGTTAATGCAGGCTCCTTCAGCGACTGTTGTTGTCAAAGGCCTTTCACAAAAAACTACTGAAGAAGATTTGTATCAAATCCTTGTACTCTCTACTACTCTCTCGTTCTCGCTCAACCTCCCACATGCTACTTGTCGCCCACCCAATTTAGCTGTATTTGTGCTCATCAAATTTCTCCCATTGCTATGTTTTTTATTTCTTTAGGCTGAGTGGGGTCCTCTACGCCATGTTCGTGTGATCAAAGAACGAAATTCTGGCATTTCTCGTGGATTTGCTTTTATTGATTTCCCTTCCGTGGTATGAAAAATTAATCATATGCAAATGTTGCATTTTCCATTTTATTATAGCACATAATTGAACTTAGCCCTGTGAAATAGGATGCGGCCCAAGCAATGATGGACAAACTTGGGGATGAGGGTCTAGTTGTGGATGGTAGGAAGCTTTTTTTTGAGTACAGGTAAATATAATTTTGTTGCATTCGAGGGCACTAATTTGTTATCTTCGTTATCATTGCCAGTTTATGTTTTGCGAGATTGTCTGTGATGCCAAGGTGTAATGCACCAATTGTTTACTTTCTCTTGCACATGTAGGGTCAATTGAGTCAATTATTTATGCTTTCTTGAACCATCATTTCTTTGTGATAGGACCACTCTAATTTACCTTTAGACTACTAGTTTTTTTTTTTTTTTTTTCCTTTTTTTGTGCTTTCTCACTGCATGCATCTCTGGCGTTTCCTTTCATGGTATATCTGTCATAGGCCGCCCTCCATTTTGCTTTTTTTTTTTTTCCATGGAATTTTGTCTCTGTCTGGGGACTAGGGAAGGAAAGGGAGTAAGAGAGAAAGAAAATGTTTCTCTTCCTTTGTGAAAGTAAGAGAAAGTAAAGAAGATGAAGATATATCCACTGGGCCCTGTTCAACTTCTCCTGAATTTTCCTTTATACTTATTCCCTGATCAATCAGGACTGTAATTAATATTTCTTCAACTTTTTTTTGAAACTGGTAAATGTATTAATATTTCTTCAACTTAGCTTCCTCTGTTATTTTCATCTTTTATTTTCTGCAATTTCTGTTTTTGTAGTAGTAGAGGTACCATGTATTGCGCCAGTTTTAGATATTACTATTGGCATTTCTGCTTAATATGAATAGATAGCACTCCAAAGTTTTAACCAACTGAACTTTTTTTTGTTGCTTGGCAGTAGCAAGCCAACTGGAGGGCCCGGTGGGCCTGGTGGTCTAGACAGTGCTTCAAGATCTAACCATGGTCACCACCGGAGCATGACTGTTCCATCTGATTGGATGTGTACCATCTGTGGATGTGTGAATTTTGCACGGCGGACATCTTGCTTTCAGGTTCTTATTTGTTACCCTATATTTATAGTAATGTACCTTGCTATTTGATAATCTATGTTGATAAAAGCACCTTCATTACCTTCAAGTTTTATTTTATTAGGGGAAGAAGATAAGTTACTCCCTTTGTCCCATTTTATATGAGGTAGTTTGACTCGGCACGGAGTTTAAGAAAGAAATGAAGACTTTTAAAACTTGTGGTCCAAAATGAATGGTAGAAATTTGTGTGGCTGTAAATTATTTCATTAAGGGTAAAATAGACATTTTATAGTTAAATTGTTACTTAATATAGAAATGTGTCATTCTTTTTGGGACTGACTAAAAAGGAAAGTAAGTCTCATAAATTGGGATAGAGTGGGTATTATTTATGAAACAAGTAAAACATTAGTTTTGTAACTTGCTTCGACTTTGGTCGAATTCACAATTATCCAAGATACGCACACAATTCAGCACTCAGACTCAAAGGACTCTCAAAGAGTAAATAGAATAAGTTGGTTACTTTTCATCTTTATTATTTTTCCTGTCCCCTAAATTATAGCTATTTTTTTGGTAACTATTTGTATTAATCACCAAGCATCAACAGTACAATACCATAGTTAGGGGTTGTTTGGTTTGGCTTTTTGAAGTAGCTAAAAGCTAAAAACCAGTAATTTTTTGGCCTAAAAGTAGGTGCTTAAAACACTTCTTATCTTTCCCAAACACCTTCAAAAAAATAAAAAAGAGCTTAAAAGCCAAAAGCTACTTAAAATAAGCCAATCCAAACACACTCTTAGTGCAACATCAATTATAGGTATGTTTTTAAGAAACAGGATTTACACTTCGTTGGCAGAAATTGTTGCATCACAGCCCCTTCCTTTTGTGTTTATACATAATTTATGAAGATGTCCATTTGTGTTATTTTTTATTTTATTGACTGAAGATGAACTACATTTGTTAGTAATGTGGTCTAATTAACAGATGCAAATTTCTCTTGTATGCATGGCTTGTAGAGAGAGAGTTGGAGTTAAGAATGCTATTATTTGTGTTCAAAATAATAACGGCCTTCTTTGGTAGTTTTGTTCTTGTTTTACTTTACACCAATCAGACAGTTTTTTATCTGCTGTCTGAGGAATATCCTGTCTGGGTTGTTTGTAGATACATACTATAGTTCTAATGCACACAAATTTCTCAATGACTTGATCTTGTGATTGCCATGAGTGATCCTTTTTTCTCCTCTATGGAACAGTGTAATGAGCCACGAACAGATGATGCTCCTCCAGCAGACATGGCATCATCCAACTCTAGCTCTCTAGGGAGGAGAGGCGAAGCAGGTAACTTATATATGCTATGTTCAGCTTTTATCTAGGGTCTATTTGGAACATCCAAGTATGGAATACATTGGATCCGACTTGGTTTAAGTAATTTATATCCAGCATAAACTAATCTGCTTTTGGTCCTTTTTCTTAAAATGTAAGTCACATAGGATTTCAACTAATCTTGGTTTGGCATGTTATTAGTTATTTGGATTTTATATTATTACCACCTTTATACCTGTTTCTCTTCCCATTTCTCTTTCTTCCGTATTTTCTTTCCATTTCAAAAAAAAATATGTAGGGAAGAGAAAATTGGGAAGAGAAATATGTATAAAGGTGTTATTACATTTGGGTAAGGAGAACCAAAAATATGGTTTCAGCTCTACAAACTTTTAGGCCTTATTCTTTGGACCAAATCCGAATTATGGCCACTGTGGGATAATCTTGATTCCAAAAATAACGATCAGGTTCTTGCCAAACTAGGATTTTTAAAATAAAACTGGAGTTGCTTTTCCCTCTTAATTCAGATCAAGGGAGTCCCAATTCCCCAAATGGGGAGCTTAATTAGCACATTTGGAGTGATTCTAATTTGATACATTGTCAGGTCCCACGCATGTCTTGGTTGTCCGTGGATTAGATGAAAATGCAGACGAGGAGATGCTTCGTTATGAATTTTCCAAACATGCTCCTATTAAGGTGAATTTTTTTCCTGCCATCTTTGCTGTTCATGTGTGTTCCTGGCTCCCTATTGAGCTGTCTAACAACTTTAATATGTGCAGGATCTTCGTCTTGTCAGAGACAAGTTCACTCACGTCTCAAGGGGATTTGCTTTTGTGCACTTCTATTCGGTGCGTGTAGTTTTGGTTGTTATTGAAGCAATTAAATATTCATCTATGGAACATAATATCACTAGGAGTAGGCATTCTTCTTTTTGGTTGCCATGAGAAAGTTTATATGAATATCTATTTTGAGAAGTTCGTGTAAAGTACTTTTTGTGTAGATCATGTTGGTGATTCGGAAGATAAATGCCATTTTTTTTGGGAGAAGACAAATTACCGCCTAAACTTGTTATGTCACTTGTCCCGGAAAATCACCTGCACACTTAAAGCGATACTAAGACCCCAATAAAATGACTCAACTAGATTCAGTCCGGGCCGGGCTTTGTGCACATACATGCACGGACACATGTCACTTGTATTTTTTTTTTTAGTTTTCTCCTTTTTCTTATAATCCCTCCTTTCCCTGCCTCTATGTCATCTCTTCATTTATACAAATCCCACATCACTCATCCAAGCTTCCTTTTTTCCCCTGTTCTGTCTATTTTCCATCTAAACACCGTTACTTCCTTTTTTCTCTGTCATCTTTTCACTGTGGTGACCTTTCCTCCTTTAAGAGCTTCCGTATGTGCCTCATATATCCTCCATTGAATACGCTGGGTAAAATGATCCATACTCTTTTTTTTCCTCCCTTGCTGAGGCTAAGGTGGTGTCAACCAAAGGGGCATTTCTTTTTTCTAAATATGCTGGGAAAATGCAGTTTATTTTAAGAGGAGGTTGGGTGTGTGATGACCACAAAAAGAGTTCTGAAATGCTAAGCGAGCAGCAAACATTTATTTTGATAATCTTTCATATGTGAGCTTGACAGCACATTTAATGCTGTAGGAAATTGCGCATAATCTGATTCTGATGAATGACGAACTCTCATCAGTAGTGTTTTGTAATGAAGTATCATTGTGGGTGTATGCTTCTGATGAGAAAATAACAGTGCAAAGCGTAAGCAAGACCATGGGAAACTCTATCTTGATCTTTAGTTATAGAGGGTAAGCAAAACATGGCAAGAGAGAAGAGAGAAGCAGCCACTTGTACTTTTATTTTGTTTCTTTTTTCAGTGTCTCTGAAGTGTTCCTAAGATGCTAATGGACTTTTTAGTTAAGACTTTCGAAAAGTCTTGAGTACAATTTATGTAGTGAAACTAGGATGAATTGGCGGTTGCTTGGACTGGTATTTTTGTGGAAAAATAGGAGCTAATTGATGGATATGTTGAACAGGTGGTTAGTGTGAGAGAATAGTGTGATTGGGTGTAGAAGAAAGAACAGTAAAATACATAAAAGCACTTAATGTTGCCACGTGCATGTAAGGAAAAAGAAAAATACGCATTGGCCGAAAATGTTCTTCTAACCTATCTTAAATGTTCTTCACACATCTTAGAGGAGGTGACAGCTTAGGGGGTGGTTGTAGACTTGTAGTATCACTTTGAACAAGAGGAGCAAGGGGAACAAAGTTTAGGTGTGGAAGTGGTTTCTTGGGCTAAGTTTAGGGAGTTATTACGTATTTTCCCAAATTTTCCGTATTTTTTATGTGCAAGGTTTTTATTCACAAAAGAGAACAACCTACTAGGTTGTTTCATGTTTCTCATCATGTTGTATTTTGTGATTGTCATGTATAATGTTTTGCTATTTTCTGCATTGCTTAGAGGCTTGCGGTATTAGGATATTTAGTCTTTCTTTGTTAATGAGAAAATTTGATGAAGTGGGTACTAGGAACTTTACTCCTTTGTTGGGGTAAAAAATGTTTATCTTAATTGTGCTATTTTCATGTGATTCAGGTGGAGGAAGCTACTAAAGCTCTTGAAGCAACAAATGGGACAACTTTAGAGAAGAATGGGCAGCTTCTTAGAGTTGCGTATGCAAAAAGTATCCTAGGACCAGGATCTGGTGCTTCTCAGGCTAGCAGCCTTGCTGCTGCTGCTATTGAAGCAGCAACTTTTTCTCAACAGGTTTTCTTCCCCTTCAACTTGGCTATAGCTTGTTCTTTGTAATAATCCTGAGAGCAGGTTCCCATAGATACCTTTGTACGGTGGGGATAATATTTTTCTTTATAATGGTTAGATGGAGATAATCTTGATCAAGTAATTTGAGTTTGAATGGGTGAATGCATTTCATATATACTTGCTTCGTAGCGCAAGCTGATTAAATCACATCTAATGCGACTGATCAGAGTGTATCATTCAAATAAATTAAGATATCCCACCATTTCCCAAATTTATAGCCATCGTTCATCCATTGTTCAAATGCATAGTATTCGTGTTTTTGGTACTTTCTCCATATCAATAAATTTACTGTGCTTCTACTTGATTTCGTTCATTAAGACAATGGGCTGTGCTTCCTCCTTGGTGTGGGTGGGTGGGATATTGTTTGGAATATATGGAAGTAAAAGCTGCCTACTCTTGTTTTATCCATATATACAACGGTTTCTGTTTTTAGTTTGTTCTCTTCAGCAGCAAGGTGGGGGTGAGACAGGGAACTGTTGCTACAAAGAAAGAGCTTTGAGTGTCCTAGGCGTTGTGTAGTATGCAGCTTGCGTTTACATTGGTTAGATGTAGACAGCTGGTCATCTTTCAATATTGGACTGTAAAATGTTGATGCTTTAATTGATGCATGTGGCACATTTATAATTGTCCGAGACATGAAGGTCAAGTGACATGTATGCCTAATTATTCCTCCATGCTTTTAGTATGATGCTGTTGGATGGGCACCAAAAGAGTATAATCCTGATGATAAACTGTCCACCGGTGGACAAGAGCACAGTGGAGAAGTTGCTGGTCAAAATTCTGCTCCACAATCAGGATTTGTCTGGGATGAAGCCTCTGGCTATTATTATGATGCGACTTCTGGTTTCTATTATGATGGAAATACAGGTTTATTTTCATTTTATGCTAAAGCATCATCCACTTTGTATTGTATGTAGACCGGGTCTGGTTAAGCACACTTCATTAGCTTATGATACTTAACTAAAATGAAATGGTAGACACTTTGTCAGCTCACTTTTTGTGCCTTTTGGGTGCCATGGGCTTCTATCACAGTCTAAGTGATATTTCACAGGTCCATTTAGTAGATAAATTACAGATCTCGATGTCCATCAAGTCGGCTCCTGAGAATGTAAAAAATTGGTTTTCACGCACCTTAATTTAACTAATTTTTAGAGTAAAATTCATGTCCTCCCTCAATTTCAACTTTCAAATACTCTTTTTCAATTTCAACTTAAAATACACTCTTTTTTTTTTTTTTAACTTCAACCAAATATTGTTGAAACACTTTGATTTTTGAGGGTGTGCTAAGTTTGATTCTTTCAAAAGGATTGTGTTCCATTGGGTAGTCTTGTTGAGCCGATTTTTATGTGATGTATTGCTGCAATTATATTAATAATGCTATCTTTCTATTTCTGCTTCATCTTTCATTGATTCTCGCTAATTTCAAGTTAGAATATGTCTTGGGGGATGAATTATGTATTAAGATAAACCCTCGTACCGTCCAACATTATCAGTTTCAAAAAAAGATAAACCCTCGTATGTAGTTACAGGTGTAGGTAAAAGATGACACTATCACAATTACTGTTGTTATGCAGGGTTGTATTATGACGGTAACAATGGAATCTGGTATACTTATGATCAGAAGACTCAGCAATATTTACCCTGCACGAATCAGAATGAAAACAAACCAGCAGCAGGACAAACTGAAACTGCCAAGTCATCTGATGGCTCAAACACTAAGAAAGTCGTTATATCTGCACCAGCTTCTACAATAGCTGGTGAGAAGGCTGCCTCACTGCCGGATGCTATTCAGGCTGCTGCCTCTGCAGCAATAGCTGCTGAAAAGAAAGAGAAGGAGAAGGCAAAAGAGATAAAACTTGCATCAAAAAGCAGCATCCTTGCGAATAAGAAGAAAATGAGTAATGTATTGTCAATGTGGAAGCAAAGAAGTCATGAAGGTCAAGCCCCCCGTGTGGCTCTTGAAGACAGCCAGACAGTGGGTGAAGACAGATCTAACTCAGTAGGTCCCGCTGTAAAGACTAAGTTAAAAGCTGAGCCCTTGACAGCTAGAGAGAATCCTACCGCCAGTTCAGTACTTGTAGGAAGCTCAACTTTTCAATCTGTGAGTTCCGAGACTCAGGATAGGCCTAGGTCTCTTACTAACAGCTCTGGGGGCACTCTGAAGGGCGTCATAAGAGGTTCTGGTTTAGGAGTGGTGAAATCGAATACTCTATACACAGGATCATCTGGAAGTGCATCCACGTCACACACCATGCCACCAACCTCAGGTCCATCTTCATTAATAAACGCAGATGCCTCTGCAGCACCCTTTAGGACAGATGCATCGGCATTGGGTTCTTATACACCCCCAGTACCAGCTGGTAGTAAAAGAAGGTTCTCAGAGATGCCATCACAGCCTCCTCCATCTATTAAGGAACAGTCTCAGGCTACAACTGCATACCGAGATCGTGCTGCTGAGCGGAGGAGCTTATATGGTTCATCTTCAGCTTTTGGAGATGATGCATCAGAACATGGAGATTCAAGTAAGATTTTATAGAACATTTTGAGCTAAAGCCACTTGTTTTGAAGTCTTCTCAGTTTTGTATCTCTTCTCTCTCCCTCTCTTCTCCTGGTTTCGAATGCATTATGGGTTTCGTAAGTGTGTATCTTTGTTGCTATTATAGGATGTAATTCCGTAGTCGAAAACTTTTCCGTTGACCAAGACCTTGCTTAGTTGGAAAACTTCAAAAAATGAAGATTCCAATGGTGGTTGCTAGATTTGTTTGGATTTGTATTAACTTGTTAGAAAATTTGTTTTCTATTATTGCTTGGGCTTCAAGATCGGGACTCAACATTCAGAAGAGGTGTTTTTGATCCAACTCCTTTCCCCCCTGGTGTTGGAGGTGGACGTAGTGCAGAAGCGAATAGTCAGAGCTTTGAGGTTATCACGGCTGACAGGGCTATAGACGAGAGTAATGTGGGCAATCGTATGCTTCGCAACATGGGATGGCAGGAGGGCTTGGTATCATTTCTTACCCTAAAACTCTCAAAGACTTCATTTCTATATTATTATCACGGGACAATGTTGTCAATAAGCATTTATTAATCACAACAACAATAGCTACAGCTCAATCCCAAGAAAGTTGTCTGCTTGGCTTTATGGATATCCTCAATGTCATGTTGCTCCATTTAAGATCATCTCACTCCAAAATTATATAAAATAAAATTTACAAATACAACAAAAACACCAGAAGCTCTCTACGAGCCTATATCTCTCTTATAAAGCCAAGATTATCCTAGAAAACATGCTAACATGTCTAAGAGCCTATAGTAAACATGCTATAACATATCTAAAACTTAGCTAATTCTAATTTATTTTTAAATTTTTTTAAAAACATGGCCCAACAAACATAAAGATATATTTCTTCCCTTGTGCCCTATATAGATCCCAACTAATAAGCTTATATTGGTTTTACTTACTTTTAAAAAAGGTTATATTGATTGCATCAGTCTGATCCTGCTGAATTTTGTTTATCATGGTTTGCAACGTTTATTTCTCAAAAAGATAGGGGGATGTTGCATTTTGTTTGTCCTTGTATAAGTTTGTGATTCCCAGGCTGTAAAGTGGCAATTTGGTATTCTTTCTCGTAACGCAAAGCCTGACTTTTATTTTGGGATTTTGTTTTTGCTGTCTTTTATTGTTATGAATTCAGGGATTGGGGAAGGATGGAAGTGGTATGGTAGAGCCAGTCCAAGCTCAAAGCACTGGACATAGAGCCGGACTGGGAAGTCAGTCCAAGAAGGTGGACCCAACCCTTGAAGCACAGTCTGGTGACAGTTACAAGACTCTCATACAAAAAAAGGCTATTGCTAGGTTCAGAGAGATGTAATAAATGGAGAAGAAATGTATAACAACCATGCCAGGATTGGGACTGGAGATGGCGGTTAGAAATGTTTCCGTTTAGGCTAGTTAGGTATTTTGTTGGTTTCTTTTTTAGTTTTTCATTGGTGCCATTAGATTCAAGAACTATTCAAAAATGTGATGTATGAGACTTTATATTTCTTTCTGCACTTGCCCTGTATCCGACGAATGTTTCGGAGTCTGGATGTCTCGCTTGTGTACCTGTTTTGCAATGTAAAAAAGTTCTCTTCATTGTGACTGCTGTTATTCTGGTTTGTTGAATATCGATATTTTAAAAGTAATCCTGCTTCGATTGCCTGGCCGTTGTTAAATAAACTTATCTGTCTCGTTCCATAAAGTAGAACATTGCCTGTTAAAATTGCTTCAAGGCCTCGTCGTGATATTTCAATTTTTAGCAGTTGCCATTGTAGTTTTTGTGGAGGCCAAATATATTGATGGTTCCTTAAAGTTATATCAATTATTAGTAATTAGTATTCGGATAAGTTATCTCCTGAAAATGATTTAGTTATCCCAGAATAAAACAATGAGATTAACAAAAATATTCTTGAGGCCCCTTCCTCAGACCATGTGCATAGAGGGAACTTTACGAAGGTTTCTCAAACATAAACACAAAATATTCTTAAAAAAAATATAAAATTATGATAATTACACGACTTAAGATAACATAATCTCTAAAAATCCTTACCATTTGAATTAATTACAAAAATATCCTTTTTCCTTCTCTTTCTTAATATCTAGATATATCACTCATCTCATACATGACAACTTTATTTGTGTATTTGTGTTCAATGTATCTGATACAAATGTTGTTGTTGATACATAATTTCAAACTTAAATTAGTATGAATTTGATTTATAGTAATGTATGTGATACATAACTTATATATATGATACATAACTTATGTATCATTTGCTATGTATCGGGTGAGGACATGGGCGGCTCAAAGTAATTAGAGGCCTAAAGCGAAATTTCAATTAGAGGTCTAAAATCGAAATAAACTTCATATATATTTATTTAAAAAATATTTTTCTAACTTTTAGATTTCAATTAGAAGCCTAA